TTCTTTATTAATATTTCTAAAGAGAAAGAAAGACAGAAAATCGTGACAAAATTTATATGACGTGTGAAGAAATAGTTTGAAATCTCTGCAATCCTATAAACACTTATCATACAATTATATAGCATTTAATGATGTGGGATTTTATACATATATATATATGCTCTGCTTGTGATTGTATGCATTCTTGTTTTATTCATGTTCATTTTTTGCTTGACAGGTGAACGTGATTGCCATCGATATCAGCTGTGTGAGAAACAATAGTCAAGTTGTGATTTTCGGAGAGCTCGATGTGTCGGAGGGCACTCCTTATATTACTGCTAAGGTGAGTTGCGTATGTTTTGGAATGCGAGTTTTTTTTTTATTCAATTTTTATCGCTTTTATCTTGTATTTTTTTTACAGCATATGGTGCTATACACATTTCTGCTCATTCATCCTTTTTATTATTGTTATTGTTGATGTTGTTATTATTTTTGTCGTTATTATTATCATTATTGTTATTATTATTGTCATTGTTATTGTTCTTTTCTTCCCTGTTTGATATTTTGCTAAGTGAATAAAAAAGCCACATGTTTAACAGAATGCAGATAATTCATACAGTCTCTGTTCATATAATGCGTAATAGTTTATACATTCTGTGTCACTAGAATATCTCAGTTGATTCAAGATTGCCCACACCAAGGCATGCATAAAATTCCAGTTGGATTTGAATGAAATATGCCGAGAGATGCCAGACCTTGGTGATGAATTAGAAATATTGAGGGTAATGGGGGTGTTGGTGGCGTTTGGGACAATTGATTCCCCACTTATCCAATAGATGTTCCCACCCTGGAATGCTGTAGGCTCCTGTTTGCACATGTACTTGGTTTGTGTTATTAGGCTTGCAGTGTTTGTCGGTGGTGGGGATCGAGATGTTTGTGAGGTCGTGTCTGGTGTTGGGTCTTTGTGTGTGTGTGTGTGTGTGTGTGTGTGTGTGTGTGTGTGTGTGTGTGTGTGTGTGTGTGGGTGTGTGTGTGTGTGTGTGTGTCTCTCTCTCTCTCTCTCTCTCTCTCTCTCTCTCTCTCTCTCTCTCTCCTCTCTCTCTCTCTCTCTCTCTCTCTCTCTCTCTCTCTCTCTCTCTCTCTCTCTCTCTCCCCCTCCTCCTCCCTCCCTCTCCCTCTCTCCCTCTCTCCCTCCTTCCCTCTCTCCCCCCCCCCTCCTCCTCCTTCCCTCCTTTCCTCTCTCCCTCTCTCCCTCCTTCCCCCTCCCTCCCTTCACTCCCTCCCTCCCTCCCTCCTCCCTCCATGCCCTCCCTCCCTTCACTCCTTCCCTTGCTTTTACAATTTCAGATTATTCACAGTCACATGTGATGTAAAAATATTCATCTCGGACGCCCCACACAATTCCTCATAACTGTTTTCAAGCATTCTTCCTTTATCTGTTTATTTTGGTTATGACAACTGATATAAGATAACCATTTCTCTTTTAGAATCATAAATGTCTGTGAATCCATTAAGAATTTGTCAAATGGACATGTAATTTCAGATATTTTAGGATCAATACTGACTTTCAAGGTCCAATTAAATTGATTGAATAAAATGCCTTTGATACTTACTTTTCCCAGTTGGTTTTAAGCTTTTTCAAATTTCTTCATCTATGAATGTATTATTTGTAGGGGAATGATCTGATTTCATATGAATCTGTTGATTGTATGTCTTTAATTCAAAAGTGAAATTGATATTTAGCTATTATTTCATACAAGGATTTTGTAATATTACTAAATACCATATGACATGCTCATGTGGGAGACTAGATCATAAGCAGATATTGTCTTCAAGTTGAGAAGTTGATTTACGTATCGAGAGGCAGCTGGGCAGAATCGAATATTGACTGGAGTGAAATGAGACATTTAACAGGCAGCTGCGGGTCCCAATGGAACCTATAGGTCTCCACTATCTTTAAGAACAAGGCATTCACTTCCACGGCATTGAAGGAGACACATTTGTTCTGGAATGGAATATTGAGTCATTTTGATATATATCATTAATGACTTAATGTATATCATTGGAAGTCTTTAGCTAATTGCAAAACCCTTTTATAAAGTTATTAGTTTCATTGGTGGTTAGTTTGGTAATCCTTTGTAGGTTTAGCACGTCTGTCATGTTTTTCTCACTTTTTTATCTGTATTGTTATGAGGTTATTTCAAACACAGTAAATAACTCTTGAAATAAGTATTACAGACCCAAGAATGTAATTCAGTTTAATTAGTTCATATGTGTTTATTACATTGTTATTATTAATTGCTTGCTATGTAGAGACAGAGTTAGAGTTGATTCATTAGCACATGTGGCATTGATTATTTAAGTGTGTCTCATTATGTATTATGTTGTGATATTACATCATTATTCAGCATTATTCCATCATAGAAGGAGGTGCAAATGATCTTGATATGGTATTATCATTTCTGAAATTATCTGAACTGTATGAGTAGAGTAACATCAGTTAACCACATGCCACTGGGGATGGCATATGTGTATATGCCATGCCCACTATTTGTTTGATTTAGTAATTGTTTTTACACATAGATGGTACCACAAGTACTTTGTCATGAATGAGCCAGTTTTGAGAACTATTTGTCGCACCTGTTTACCCTTTTCTTTGATTTTTGACAATATTTTCTGGTAATGGATATTGCTATTAGTAATGTCAATAATGATATAGTAATTATAATGTTTAAGATAAAAATAACAGTATCAATATTGATAGCTGTAGTAAATACCTTCTTCCTGCATACTCAAGGAAAGGTGAAATCAGGTGAAGTCACAAGGCCTACTCATTGACCCCTTTGTGGCTAAGCACTGGCAGAGCCATCTGTGTGTAGAGACCTTTGACAGAACAGTACTGGCAGCATTGGGTTAATTTGTAATCTTGTGTATTCTAATTCATTTTCTTCTTCTGTATTATCTTGGTAAGTAGTTGTAAATAAAGGTCTTTAGTTAGTATTCAGGCTGTCAGCTTAATTCAGCTAAGGGTTATGAGTATTAAAGGTGACCTTAATTGTTTGGCAACCTGATCCTTGCTACAGTATTTGTGATTTTCAAAGTGAGACCTTTATACTTATCTCTCCTCCTCCTCCTCCTCCTTTCCTTCTTCTTCTTTCTCTTCATCTGTTATTATTGTTCAGGGACTTACTAATGACTTTCATTACAGTGGGTTTAGATTTGCACAATTATTTCAGGTCTAGCTGCGTATGAATAATTATTTTTAGAAAGTTGTCTTCTATGTTATATGCAATGAGCATAAAAGATATTTGTCCAGTGTATTTTAAAAGGGGAGGAAGACAATGAAAAAGGTTTATTGCCTTATAAGCAATATTCTTAAAACGTTTTCCTTGTGGCCCAGTTTGGTTTCAAGTACTACCCTCACAAACATGAGGTAAAAGGAAAAGAAAAGGGGAAAAAAAGAGGCGGGGACAAAGATTTGAAACTGTTGAACGCAGAGGGAAAAATATGGATAAACAAAGAAATTAGCATCAGTTGATATTTTGTCTGACAGCAAAATTCATGTGATGTCATGGCAATATCTCTTATTGAGTGTTTATTGTTTACTTGTCATTGTTTGAATACACCTCTCTTCATCAGGCTTGAAAACCTTTTTATATGCATTTGCAACGAATACTTTGAAGAGCTCAGCCTTAGAGAAATGTTCATATCCTTTTACCAGTACTGGATTTTGTTATGAGTAGGGATGTCTGTTTGCCAAGGTAGAAAGTGGCAAAAGTTGTTAGACTCTTCATTTTTACTGTTTGCTTCTTACAGTCTCCTGTCTCCATCCTGTAGGCATGCATTGTGGCATTATCTTATCTTAGTCTGTGTGGTGAATAGGATAAAAGACAGCAAAAGTCTTTTTTTGCTGTCTTTTACTTACTCGTTTTTTGCATGCCTCTTTTGCAGACTTATGAGTCTTATTTTTCCCGTCCTTTGTAAATTACTACACTTGTTAGAAGGATGTAAAATCAGAGACGGCCAGTTTGAAATTCATTCAGTCTCGGTGTTCCCCTATTACAGAGAAAGGATAAAGATTACTAAAACGTATACTGGGGAATGTTTAGTTTTTGATGCCTGTGTGATAGAAATACTATGAATTAGTTCTATTTTTTCCTCTTAAACTAAGCACATATGAATGCTGAAATTTAATTTTCATGTTTTTATAGAGAATCTTCAGAAATGTTTTCTCTCGTTTTTCTCTCAGTCTTGTCTCGTCTTTTATATTATTAATAAATTTGTTGTCTTTGGTTATTAGTGCTTTATTCTAGTTTCCATTAATCTTGCCTCATCTTTTATATTATTGATAAGTTTGTTGTATTTGGTTATTAGAGCCTAATTCTGATATCCTTTCATCTGACCTCTGTTCCTTATGATGCCTTTATTTGCAGATAACACGAGAGTGCAGCAACTTGAACATCCAGCAGAATTCCTCAGCCGTGGCAATAGTACAACGTCTTTTCCCGAACATCCTCAAGTGAACACCAAGCTTTGAAGAGGACAACATCATCTAATATTTGTTTTAATTTGTCTTATTTCTTTTTTTATTATTGATATATTTGAACTGTCTTTATAGTAATAGAATAATTATTGTATTGTCAGAAGATAGATAAAGGAAAAAAAATATCTATTTGGTATATTACCAAGTTGTAATATTTTTGCATATACTTTGCTTTTCCATGTTAAGGTCCACTTGTATAGAAAAGCAAGTGCCTAATGAAGGTTCTGCAAAGTTGTTTCTATTCTTTGTCATGAGAACCCATAGCATATTGAATTTCATGAGGTTTGTAGCATATCAGTTAGACTATTCACCAAAACCTATGATACTGTGCAACAGAGTGGGCCAGCAAAAGTTTACACATCATTTTGATTTTGCATGCCATCCATTAGATGTTTTACTCTTTGGCGTGTCAAGGCAGAGTGACAGAAGGGTTCTCTTGCAGTTGCAAAGTCACAGTTACATCTCCTAGCATTGTAAAAGTCTGCATTCTAGCCAGCGAACCTTCTGAAGATGAGTGTAAGCGGTGCCAGCAAGACAGACGATATCCAGCATGACCCACAAGAGGCGGAAAAAAGCACTAACTCCCCTCCGTCTCTTCCCTGCCCTGGTGCTGAGGGCAACAAGGACTCCGGCACCAAGGACGAAGCTCCAGTGTCATTGCCAGCCAACCAAAATGGCCAGGACAACAGCCAGCAGACTCCAAACATGGCACCTCAAGACACGTTGCAAGAATGTCCAGCAGTGCCAGCGGCAGTTTGTGAAGGCGAGACTAAAGACAGTGCCAGTGAAGAAGGTGGAAAAGTGGGGGACAAATCACAGGAGGGAAGTCATGACTCTGAGTGTAGATCCCAAGAGAAAGACATAACTTGTGAGGATGTGAGAAAAGCCGAGGGAAAATCCTTGGAAGTAAACATTGCTGGAGAAATGGCTTCCGTGTTTGCGGAAGTGACGAGTGAGTTTAAAACCGCATTTAAGGATGTACATAGTGAATTATGCTCGGCTGTGCACGAGATTAAGGACGAACTCAGTCAAGTACTTATTTCTTCTACTCAGTCTATATCAGGTGCTTCAGACCAAGTGATAAAAGAGCAAACAGAGAGTAAAACAGACATTGAAGGTAATATTATAGCCCCAGGGAGTGATGTCAGACCTCCTGTGGACCACTCTAGTTTTAAGGAAGTGTTAACTACAGAAAAAGAATTGGTGGTGGGTGAGCAAGAGAGAAATGCAGGTATATCTGAGGAACCCCATGATTTCGAAGGGAAAGAGGCTGTTACAAAGGAAGTGAAGCCAGTGCAGCATCATGAAGGGGCAAAAAGGAGGTCAGGTTGTGTAAATATAGAGGACAGGATAAATGAGAACAGTCTTTGCTGCAGTGAGAGTGATACTTTGTTTCAGAACCCTGATAGATTCAAAACAGAGAATGGTGTGGTCCAAGTTTATGATGCAAATGTTGGGCAACAGCAGTCAAAGGATGCTAGTGACAGTGAGAGTTTGGCAACAGAAACCCAAGAGGGGAACCAAAATAAATTCGGGGACCAAAAGAATTACAAAGAATCTGAGATTCAGATGACAGACAAGCAGAAGGAGGAGCAGGGCATCAAAGATCAACCACTGTCAGCCCCAAGTACTCCAATACCCCCAGCAGCTGGCCATCCACGCAAGTCCATCCGCCTCCAGGGCTGCCGTGGACGTAGGGTTTCCTTCCCAGAAGATGACACTCGCCTCATCTCCAGCTACCTGGAGCCTGTGAACCCATGGCAGCAGATGTCTGGCGTTACGGTGGAAGAGATTGCTGCCGCCTACAGGTCTTCTTGCGAACGCCATCGCACACAGCCCTTACCAACTGTAGTCCAGCAGATCAAGGCGCTGCCTTTAGGTTTTGGGGCCGGTGGAGTGCTGAGCCTCCGTGGGCAGAGGCTAGATGGTAGTCAGTGTGAGGGCTTGGAGGAAATATTTCGCAGAGTGCAGTTCAAGATCCTTGACTTGGAAGGCTGTTCCTTTAGATGACGACACTGCCATTCCCCTATTTGATATGATTGAGTTCTATGACTCTGCAACACAATTAAATATTTCCTGCAATGCAAAGATTGGCTTCAGGGGTTGGCAGGCTTGTTCTCGCATGCTAAAGCGAACACCCTCTGTGGAGTATCTTGATGCTCGCAACACAAACCTCAATGAGACCAATATGCCCATCTTAGGGAGAGCACTTCGACTAGGGGCTCGTCTACACACTCTTCACCTAGAAAACTGCAATTTGACTGGAAGACCTCTAATAATGCTTACTGCAGCCTTAAAGCATAATTGACACCCTAGCTGAACTGTACTTAGCTGAGAATCGGCTTGGTGTCAATGACTGCATACAGCTTGGAAATCTGGTGCGGGCAAATAACACGCTTCGTCTCCTTGACCTTCGTAACAATAATGTACAAGATGCAGGTTGTGGTCATGTTTGTGAGGGCATTGCAGAGCAGCAGATGCAGCAGATACAAGAGGGGAATACACAGGAGACCGAGAGCACCAGGGTTAAGGGACTCAATTCCCTAGTGCTCTGGAACAACCACCTGACTCAGCAGTCAGCAACTCACCTGGCTAGTATGCTGAATGTCACAACAGCACTTGAGACTCTGAATCTAGGTCGCAATAACCTCACAAGTGAAGGCATCTTACGGCTGAAGGAGTCTCTCCTGAGGAACCGTGCCCTTTTGCGGCTGGGTCTCCAGGCTGCCAGGGTTGCAGATGAGGGAGCAGTTGCGCTGGCTGAATACACGGCAGACAATACAGCCATCCAGCATATTGATCTGCGTGAGAATCCAATACGGGTGGCAGGTCTCATGGCACTCGCACATTCATTAAGGCTTAATTCTACAATTATCCAGATGGACTTGGATTCTGACCCAAGAACAGAACCAGCTGTCGAATTAGCCGAACAGCACACAATGTTACAAAAAGAGATCAAAGAATATTGTCAGCGAAACCTCACTCGAAGTCATATCAGGGCCACAGAAGTGCAGGCCAAAGACAATAGCCAGGATACTTCCAGAAGCCATTCGCCAAATGAGGGTTTAGCCACATGTATAAGGAAGATATCTCTTACCTGTGAAACTTCTACAAAAACAACCATTGCAGAGAAGATTGAAGGCCCTATCCTAGAAGAGGAAAAACCAAAATACACAAGTCCAGAGCCAAGCCCTCTGCCCAGTCCTTCTCCCAGCCCTTGTGCAAGTCCATCCCCTAGCCCTGTTCCCAGTCCACTTAAAAATAGGTTTCGAGTTATCAAAGTACAGGAGACCTCCAAGAGCCCGGTCCAGTCGCCTGTAACTTCCTGCCACGCAGCTGGACTCTGTAGTTCAGCACACTGCTACACCCACGGGCAGGAGCATGTCATCAGGGGACTTGAGTTCACTGCCTAAGCAGGCTTCTGTTCGACCCAATAGATTTAGCATAGGTGGCCGTTTCACTGTTACTCGTGTGGTTGAATCTTCAGCGCCTTCAGGACCTTGCAGCCTGCCTTCAAGCCATACAAAAGTTACAGCAACACAGTCAGCATGCACTATTCCAGCTGCAACTACTGCTGAAAGCCCCAAGATTGTTATATCATCTCCTGTTAGAGTAGAGAGAGGGTTTAGTGTGGATGGTATTACAACCTCAGTTATACCCAAACAGGTCTTGCAACAATCAGAAAAGTTGGCAAGCACTGATACCGGGTCTGACCAAAACAAAAACGTTTTTGACTCTGATGGTCTTCCAGCAGTTCAAGCAGGGTCACAGCCGCCCTCAGGAGTACATGTCCGATTGAAATCAGACAGTAGTGATGGTGATGATGTGTTTCTAGATTCTCCTTGCTTGACCTCAACTAATGGCAGATGCTCTGTAGTGTGCAAGAGTGGTTGTGACAGCCGCAGCACAGATAAGGATGCCGATTCAGTAAGTTCATGTGACCTGACAGATAGTGGCTTTCTTGACGAGGGCCTGTGTGGCAGGGGTGCTGTCAGCCCCTCCCCAGCTTGTGCAGCCCAATCCAGAAGGCGACCGGGATTCTCTCTTGAGCTCTTCTGTGGACAGTACCAGCCAAGAGGAAACTGGACTTGGTTCTTCCATCGATGGCAGCAGCAACAGCATCCTGCCGGGGTCATTGCCGTCCCCATGCCCCTCTCGTCCTGCAACCTGCCAAAACCTGACAAGCTGCAACTAGCCGAGCCTCTGAAGAGAGCCCCTCTTGCTTCCATGGAAAATGGCAGCTTTGACTCTGACAGCGAAGACAGTGAGGTAACAACACAGTCATCGGACTCAACTCACAGCGATGAAGTCCGTATAACGACTGAGCAGTATTCCCCTCGACCTGCCTGGGAGACCAAGCAAGAGCAGGTGAATGTAGCAAAGACATCAGAAAGTAGTATAGTTACATCAGGGACTTCATCGGGGACTTGTTGAGTATTTAATGTATTTTATGCCTGCAATTCTGACTGTGTTAATTGTTCTAGAGGTTTTCTCTTTATTTTTTTCTGGCTCTCCTCTCCTGATGACCTTTTTATGCTCTCCATATATGTTGTATGTATATATAGAGAGAGATTTATATGTTATATATATATATATATATGTATATATATATTTCTCCCTTTTCTCCCTGTCTTATTTTTACCTCTTGCTGTGGTTTCTAAATAGCCATTTTCTCTTTGTCTTGTTTTTTAACATCTTTTGTGAGTTTATTTCATTTTCTATCTCTTTTTTCCTCTCTGTTATTTATTGTTTAGTTGTTAACCTCTGCAATGGCAGTTGTGTCTGGTTGTGATTGCCAAAACAGTTGTAACCGTTGCATCTGGCTATTGGCAATAGCCACCACTCGCACTCTCTAGACATCAGTACTTCCTCTTGTAGACTCAGTATCATTCACACTGTATGTTTGTGTGTTTACCTCAAAAAACCTCATGTGACGAATGAAAGATCAAAACCACACAAGCAAAGAACTCTCTCTGTAAGACTCCTGTGGGCGTTTGATTCACCTTCACATAGTTAGTTTGGGTTACAGGTTTTCCAGTTTCTGTTGTTTGGCCCCAAGTGATCATCTGTTTCATATGTTTAAGATACTCTGGAGGGAAAATGTTCCTTTGGATTGTATTTCAAAGTACAGTTATAGATTAGAGAGTACTGTAGGTTATTATTATTGCTATTATTATTATTATGATTATTATCATTAGAATTATTATTGTTGTCATTATTATTATTATAATTTATTATTTGTTATTATTTATTATTATTATTATTATTATTATTATTATTATTATTATTATTGTTATTATTATTATTATCATTGTGTTGCATATTTCTTAATTTTATGGACATAGTCATATGCTTGGAAATTGTAGACTCAAAGTCTCCTACTGAGGTCCCTTTTGTCAACACACGATTGCATTAATAGCAATCTTAAAAGATTTAAGCATTCAATGCAACCTGGAATATTTCATGGAACTGATCATG